AGCAGTGAGGTCGCTCCGTGAAGCCTGCGAGAAGCCCAGGTGACTTCTGTGCTTCTGCTAGGCTGGCTTAGTTAGCCAGGTCTTTACGCACAGCGGACTAAGTGAGAGTCCACCAACCTTTAACCTTTTAATGATTCAGTGTTATATATTAAATACACAGAATTAAGTTTTGTTTGATAAGGTGCGTGCACCAGTGTCCATCATCTGCACCGTGAATTAACATTTCTTTGTTTGCTTATCAAGGAATTATTCAGTAGATAATACATTTCTCGGAACTGTTTTTATCGATAAAAATCTAATCCTGTGATTATGTTGAATAAAAAGTTCCTTCTGTAAAAATGATTATAGTGTAATAATTATTTAATAACAATTAAATATATTATTATAGTAATAGATAAAAATAAATAATAATATTTTTTATCCCATTCGGTATCGAGACCCTTGGTCCGTGGGGTCCTAGCGCTATAAGGCTTTTTAAGGAAATAGGAAAAAGGTTAGTCGACATTGCAGGAGACCGAAGAGCTGGCAGCTACCTCGGACAAATAGTTCGCCTAGCTATTCAAAGGGGGAACGCTGCCAGTATCTTGGCAACCTTGCCTAAAGGGACTCCTTTTAATCATATATTTTAATTATATTTTAAGGTTAGTTATTGTTTTTTTTATAGTAATTTTAAAATAGCTTTTCTTTATTTGATATATGTAAAACTTTTGATAGTATTAATAAAGATAAGTTATATTAAAAACCTAATAATAAAAATTACTAAAAAGAAAATTAAATCAAATTTAAAAAGTTTGACCCTCTCTCATTGATTTATTTGTCCTACAAGAAGCGTTCTAATTCTTAAAAGGCAGCCCTGCGAGCACACTGGTTCAAGAAAAGAGCTTACTGATTGTTAAAAGACCGGCAACGCACTCGCGAGCCCTCTGGTATTGTGTGTGTTTCCGAACCAATTCGACTTAGGGTCCTTCAAAGAAAGCTTAATTCTAGCTATAATTTTTAACAATTGTATTAAAAGTGGCGAGTTTCACGATCTAATGAAACATAGTAAAGTTATTCCATTATTAAAGCAGGTAGTGACCGACCCCAGTAACTTTAGACCAATTTCCGTACAACCTACTTGTAGTAAAATATTTGAAAAAATTATTTTAAATCAACTGGTAAGTCATTTTAACGTAAACAAATTATTACATAATAATCAGTTCGGTTTTACCAAGGGTCGCTCGACAGCCGATGCCGGTGTTGAGTTATACAGAAATATAGTTAAGGCTTGGGAGGAGTCGCATGACACTTAAGGTGTTTTCTGTGACTTATCCAAAGCATTTGATTGTGTCCAACACGAGACCTTAATCAGGAAACTCCGCCACTATGGCATCAAGAATACCGCACTGAATCTTCTGACTTCCTATTTACACGGAAGAACTCAGAAGGTTGAAGTGAATGGTAAGAGGTCCTCTGGGTCGGCAGTAGATATGGGCCATGGGGGTACCACAGGGCTCAATTCTTGGCCCTTTCCTCTTTCTTGTTTATATAAATGATCTACCTTTCATGGTAGAGAGAAAACATCAGATAGTTTTGTTTGCTGATGACACGTCCTTGATTTTTAAAATCAAACGACAACTAACAAATTTTGACGATGTGAACAATGCACTATCTTCGATTGTCCATTGGTTTAGTATAAATAACCTTCTACTTAATGCAAAAAATTTTGAAAATATACGTATATATATAATAAATGCATTAAATTTTGTGCAAAAAATGCAAGGGTTATGGATACTAGACCAATTATGAACGGTGAGAAATTGAATCTGGATGATACAACTGTATTTCTCGGAATCACCATGGATTCAAAACTTCATTGGTCCCCTCATATTAACGGATTGGCGAAGAGACTTAGTTCTGCAGCCTACGCGGTTAAAAAAATTCGCTCACTAACTGATGTCGATACAGCTAGACTTGTTTATTTTAGTTACTTTCATAGCTTAATGACTTATGGCTTATTATTATGGGGTCATGCTGCTGATGTCGAAACTATTTTCATCCTGCAGTCTTCTGCAGGCAAGAATACCGCTGTGAATCTTCTGACTTCCTATTTACACGGAAGAACTCAGAAGGTTGAAGTGAATGGTAAGAGGTCCTATTCGTGCAATCTATAATTTAAAATGTAGGGAATCTCTTAGAGATAAATTCAAGGAAATTAATATTCTTACCTTTCCCTCGCAATATATTTATAAGTCAAAAATAGTGATAAGTTTACTAGAATAGAACATACGCACAATGTTAATACACGGAACAAACGCAGGCTGCAATTTCCCCGTACTAGACTATCTAAAGTTAGTAATTCTTTTTTGGGAAAAGGGATACTCTTCTTTAATACAATCCCAGAGGCTCTTTTATCACTGCCTTTCAATAAATTTAAGAAATGTATTAAAGAAAAGCTGTGTAAAAAGGCTTACTATAAAGTCAACGATTATCTATGTGATAAAAGGGCCTGGGACTAGTGCTAGACAGGCTACTTCTAATTAATTTGCGATATTTGTTTTAAAATAAGTGTTGTTTGATGATTTGCTATTTTAAAAGAGTACCGAGAGGTTTTTACGCCGGCTTTTTCTCTCGGCCTACACCCTCTGTCTTCTTTGCCGATGAGTAGGGATGCCTACAAATTCAAATTTAATGACGTGGAATAAGTGATACATGTATCTTATGTTCCTTCAAAGTCAAAGTCAAATCGTTTATTTCAATTAGACCATCTAAAATGGCACTTTTGAACGTCAAAAAAAAAAAATATAAAGATGATTCTAGTTGCCCCTTCCAAAAGGTAGTTTCGTGTGGAGAAGAATGGGCAAGAAACTCCACACTTACTCTTTTAAAATAGGTTTACAATATTTTGTTACATTTGTTAAATAATTATATGTGAAGACAATGTACTCTTAGAATAAACTACTATACTAAAAAAGTTAGTATACATGTTCCTCACATATTTACAAATATCGAAACCTTAGAATATTAACATTAAAGAGTAATAAAAATATTAAAAAAACACAACAAAACAGTGTGTGAGATACAAAAAAAAATAATTACATTTGTAGCATTATATAAATTAAAAAAAAAATAATAATAACAAAAATATGTTAAAGCAAAAAATCAGCAACCAATTTGATTTTGTCCAGGCTATAGAGCCAATCATAGGATTGTCCTATGGTCCTATGTGTCCTTAATAAACATATTTTATTTTATTTTTATTTATTTTAAAGAGCGTATCAATTCTTAAACACCGCACCTGCGAGTCCACTGGATTTGAGTGTCCATGGGCGGTATCACTTAACATCACATGAGCCTCCTACCGGTTTTGTTATACAAAAAAATAAGGCATGAGCGTCAACTCGGCGTCACCCTATGTTCGACCGTCTTACGATAAGGTTATCTTAGAATTAGATTATTATGTATGTGTCTGCGGATTTGGAGTAATTAGCCAGATTTTAAATGTGTTTAAAATATAATAAATACACTTTCTGGAAGCTTTTCCAGTCAGCCATTTGAGAGAAAGCTCTTTAGAATCGAATGACGTTCAGTTTCGCGGTAATTTGAAAGGGAAGGCTAAATTATCCTGTAAGAAGCTTGGTATGCTCAGGAAGGCGAGATGGTTCTTAAATCCGGCCCACCGCTTGCAATTTCAGCCCTACATGGAGTAAAATACCATCCGTATAACCTTGACGTCCGTCGTTAAACAACTGAGCGTTTTTAAGGCAGTTTTTGCCGCGCACCATCACTATGTGGAACCAGCTGCACACTGAAGTTTTTCCGAACTAATTCGACTTAGGGTCCTTCAAAAAAAGAGCGTACCAATTCTTAAAAGCCCGGCAACACACTTGCGAGCCTCCTGGCAATATCGGCGATGGTATCACTTAACATCAGATGACCCTCCTGCCCGTTTGCCTCCTATTACATAAAAGAAGTTCGAAGAAAGAAAGTGAGAAGAAAAGGTCCTTCCACTGGACTGTAAAACTTATCCACAGAATAAAGTGGACCACAGTCCAGTCAATTAATTTTTAAATCATAATTCCGACATTACATTTTCGTTTAGTTTTTTGAAAAAAGTATTTTTTTAATAACTGTTAAAGTTAGACACAAAATTAAGATTGACATTTTTGTAACTTAAACTTTTCATCCATAAAGTTCTAAAACTTCAGTCTCAGGAAAAAATTAACCCAGTTACGCAGGTTTTCAGTAACCTAAACAAGGTCTCACTTGGAGCGCAAGCATCTATGTCGAGGGAGGCTTTTAAGGAGGCCAATAAGAGACAAGTACGCAACATTCTAGGAACTTAAAAACATTTCATACCTGTTTTTTCGTATCATTTCAGAAATTTAAGGAGGAATATGGCAAAAAAATTATAATTTATTATTCAAAACTTCGAAACTTTTAAGTCTGGGTATCTGTTTCATGATCATCAATCCAATAGGCAAGTATGGTCAGCCTGACACAAGCCAAGTTTGGGTCTAAGGCAAGCCGCTTTCCTCACGATGTATTCCTTCGTACGAGCGAATGTTAAATGCGCACATAGAAAGTCCATTGGTCCAGTCGTGGTTCTCTCAGGGATGAGAGACGCACGCTGAAGCTACTAGGTCATCACTGGTCGGAGATTTTTTTAAGCAATTTAAAAAGAAAAACTTGCCTAACTGGGTTTATTTTGACTGAAAAAAAAGTCGTAAAATCTTTATTATGTCAAATTTTGAATAGTTTTTTTCCAACATTTACTGTTTTTAATATTTATGAAAACAGATTTTTTAACTTTTCCAACCCTTTCCGGGGGTTACAGACACGAAAATCTCTGCACACATTGTTTTTGCACTTTAAAACTACAATTATCAGAATAGTTTTTATTTGACTGAACAAGTGGTCAAAATAAAAGATAAATTCATGTTAACAATTTAATAAAAAAATAACAATTTTTTGTATACAATCATTTTTAATGATTTGGACAAATTCCTTTTAAATATTTTTTAGTATCCGTAAAATGAGCGATTGTTTATTTTCTTGGTATTTTTAGCGATTTCTAGAAGGGAGTCAACTTTGTTCCATGGAAGGAAAACCTTTAAGCCATCAATGCCCGCAGTGGACTGAATTTCAGCCCTTTGGCAATTAACGTAGCAGGCGAAGTCACAGGTCTGCTTTTCCTCATTAAACCTGAGGCCTTCAGAGCAAACTCCAAGAACAACTTCATTATTGTCGCATCGCCAGAATTTGTCACAGTCGGTTTCGTGCCTCCAGAATGGAACATGGCAGTTCTCTTGGCATCTGTTTGCTTCATTACCGCCACCACCATTGCCTCCATCACCACCGTTTCCACCATCTCCACCATTGCCGCCGTCACCTCCGTTACCGCCATCACCACCATTACCGCCACCACCATTTCCACCATCTCCACCATTGCCACCATCTCCACCATTACCACCGTCGCCTCCGTTTCCACCATTACCGCCGTCACCTCCACCTCCATTTCCACCGTCACCTCCATTTCCACCGTCACCTCCGTTTCCACCATCTCCACTATTGCCGCCATCTCCACCATTTCCACCGTCGCCTCCGTTACCACCGTCACCTCCGTTACCGCCATCTCCGCCACCTCCATTTCCACCATCGCCTCCGTTTCCACCATTACCGCCGTCACCTCCACCTCCACCATCGCCTCCGTTTCCACCATTACCGCCGTCACCTCCACCTCCATTTCCACCGTCACCGCCGTCACCTCCGTTTCCACCATTACCGCCGTCACCTCCACCTCCATTTCCACCGTCACCTCCGTTTCCACCATCTCCACCATTGCCGCCATCTCCACCATTTCCACCGTCGCCTCCGTTTCCACCATCTCCACCATTTCCACCGTCACCTCCGTTACCGCCGTCACCTCCGTTACCTCCGTCTCCTCCATCTCCATTTCCACCATCGCCTCCGTTTCCACCATCTCCACCATTTCCACCGTCACCTCCGTTTCCACCATCTCCACCATTACCACCGTCACCTCCACCTCCATTTCCACCGTCGCCTCCGTTTCCACCATCTCCACCATTGCCGCCATCTCCACCATTTCCGCCGTCACCTCCGTTTCCACCATCTCCACCATTTCCGCCGTCACCTCCGTTTCCACCATCTCCACCATTGCCGCCATCTCCACCATTGCCACCGTCACCTCCGTTACCGCCGTCACCTCCGTTACCGCCGTCACCTCCACCTCCATTGCCGCCATCTCCACCATTTCCGCCGTCACCTCCGTTTCCACCATCTCCACCATTGCCACCGTCACCTCCGTTACCGCCGTCACCTCCACCTCCATTGCCGCCATCTCCACCATTTCCGCCGTCACCTCCGTTTCCACCATCTCCACCATTGCCGCCATCTCCACCATTTCCACCGTCACCTCCGTTTCCACCATCTCCACCATTACCACCGTCACCTCCGTTTCCACCATCTCCACCATTACCGCCATCACCTCCGTTACCGCCGTCACCTCCACCTCCATTGCCGCCATCTCCACCATTTCCGCCTTCACCTCCGTTTCCACCATCTCCACCATTACCGCCGTCACCTCCGTTACCGCCGTCACCTCCACCTCCATTGCCGCCATCTCCACCATTGCCACCGTCACCTCCATTTCCACCATCTCCACCTCCGCCTCCGTTTCCACCATCTCCACCATCTCCGCCTCCGCCTCCGTTTCCACCATCTCCTTCACCGCAGTCAGAAAGATATGGCCATGTACATTTCTGTAATAAAATAATATTAGTTTTTAATACTATTTATTTTTTCTTACGTAATATTAAAAAAATATAGCGACTGTATTACGCTAATAGGATGATATAGGAACGAGCCCTAGATAAGTATAAGAGTAAGAATTTTTCGGTTTTCCAAGCGTTACCAAGTGTCGTATAGTATTGTGATGTTTATTTTAGTCACGTCACGTATAATCTTAAATAAATTATATCTTAATTACCTGCAGCTTGTAGCTGAATTGAGTACCAGGTGCGCATGGCATTACTTGGTAGCCACCGTGGACACACTGGTAGAATTTGTCGCAGTCAGGATGAGGAAACAGTTTTTCTATACTGTAATCTTTAGGACAACCGTTGGGGTATGTTTCATAGTCGGTACCATTTCCATTTCCGCCTCCATTTCCGCCACCACCGCCTCCATTTCCGCCACCACCGCCTCCATTTCCGCCACCACCGCCTCCATTACCGCCGTCACCGCCTCCATTTCCACCACCACCGTTTCCGCTGTCTTCACCACAATCAGATTGGTTTGGCCAAGTGCATTTCTACAACAAAACAATAATTTCCATTTTTGTATGTTCTACACATAATTATACCAAGAGTGACGACAGCGACCAGCAAATTAAATTTACCTTCAAATTCTGTAAATTAATCTAAACCAACAAAGTCGTAGAAGCAAAATATATTTTTTCAGTAAAAGTAAAATATGGCAATGCTATTATTACTAGGATACGAAGTACATTACAAATACAATTATACTTAAGGCCCATTTAGATGGAGAGAGATTCTCGCACGTTTTGGTGCGAGAAATCGTAGGCGACTATCACCAGCAATAATCGCCATAGCATTATCGTATCAAAATGTTTACATACAGGCAAGAACTAAATTCTCACCTACGATTATGTCATACCAGAATCGCCAGTGATTTATCGCTAGGCGATAATTTCCTGCGTCTGTTTACACATCGACATTTTAGTATGAAGATTCTTACTTACAAGGAACTGGACTAGTTTAAACACGATCTCGTATGACATTTTTTTATGTTCATGCGAGTATCGTACAAATCGGTTTGAACCGCTTTGAGTGCGAGATGTTTCATTCGAGTTAGTAGGGTATTCTTCTCAAACATTTCGAATATCTAGAACGTAATAATGTAATTATCTTAAACTTATTCAAACAGGGATATATTATTACCACTTTTTATTTGTTTTTAAAATGTCTCATTGACTTTTATGATTATTTGGTTTACAATCTAAACTAAAATTATCTTAATGGTTTTTGCGATCTATTTCAGAAAAGTATAATTAGTTAAACGAGTATTACTAACATTATGCACAAAATAATTTCCGTAGAATAAAGACATCGTGTTTTCTTATTGGAATTTCTTTTGCAAAAAAGGCAAAATTAAGAAAACATTAAAACAGTCGTAATAGTGCTTTACGACTTTGTTCTCCAGGCCAAGCGATATATACTGAGAGTAGGTGGAATAAAGCTAATATTATATAATCAGCGGTAACCCGCTACTTCTGAATGAATAGTGATCGAAGCTCTGAGATATTTCTCAATAATAGTTTTTGTTTCTATTAATCTGTATTTTTTTTATTTTTACCTGCAATTTGTAGCTGAACTGTGTGCCAGGAGCGCATGGCATTACTTGGTAACCTCCATGTACGCACTGGTAAAATTTGTCGCAACTTGCGTGAGGGAACAGCTTTTCAATTGAGAAGTCTTTGGGACAGCCGTTTGGGTACGTTTCATAATCGGTATTGTTTCCGCCACCATTTCCACCGCCTCCATTACCACCGCCTCCACCTCCGCCGCCACCATTTCCACCGCCTCCATTACCACCGCCTCCACCTCCGCCGCCACCATTTCCGCCCCCTCCATTACCGCCGCCTCCATTACCGCCGCCTCCATTGCCACCGCCTCCATTTCCACCGTCGCCTCCGCAATCAGATAGGTATGGCCAAGTGCATTTCTGTTATGAAACCATTACGATCATTAAATACTAAATTAGATTTATCAAAGTTTCCTAATTTATTATTATTAAGTATGGAAAATATAAAATTGTATGTGATATACGGCGCGTACTTGAATATTTTTGAATGGTTATTTTATTAGAGCAGTGTTAGCCCAGCTACCCTCATCCCTGTGGTATGGCCATGAGCCTGGCTCTGCACCAATGGACTTTCTATGTGTGTATTACCATCCCCTTGAATAAGGAATACATCGTAAGTAAACCAGCATGCTTAGGCTTCAAAGATAGTGACAAAAGTCTGATCACCTACGTGCCTATTAAAAATGATGACGAAAATGGTACACAAATCTAAGGACCAGACCTAAAAGGCTGTACCACTGGTTTTTTATGTAAAAAATATGTGGTATTGTAATATATACAATAGGAAAAGGTTGTGCCATATTGTGGAATTAATAGAGGATACCAAAATAGCGGAGAATAATAAAAAAATCAGTGGCGCTACAACCTTTTTAGGTCTAGGCGTCAGATTTCTGTATCTGTTTCATGATCATTTGTCTTATACGTATGAAGGTGTAGCCTCCACTGCCTGGAACACGCCGTGGCGTCTAAGGCAATCGGTGTTCTTACTATGTTTTCCTTCGTACGAGCGAAAGTTAAAAGCGCACATAGAAGGACCATTGGTGCACAGCCGGGGATCGATACGACCTCAGGTATGAGAGTCTTATCGTTCTTTATACGGAATGATAATGATACTTATTTCATTACCTGTAATTTGTTGCTGAACTGTGTTCCAGGAGCGCATGGCATTACTTGGTAGTCACCGTGTACACACTGGTAAAACTTGTCGCAATCAGCGTGAGGGATCAGCTTTTCGATTGTGTAGTTTTTGGGACAGCCGTTGGGGTATGTTTCGAAATCGTTATTGTTTCCGCCTCCATTACCACCGCCACCATTTCCGCCGCCTCCGTTTCCACCGCCACCATTTCCGCCGCCTCCATTTCCGCCGCCACCATTGGTTCCATTGTCACCACAGTCGGACAGGTATGGCCAGGTGCAGTTCTAAAAACAGTGTATGAATATCCTCAATCCAGCCCTACTTAGTAGAGTTTTATCTATTTTATAAGTTTTTAAAAAAGCAAAATGTAAAAACGTGTCTAGTTGTAAGTTTGTTACACTCCAGGAAATAACGTACACTGGATATTATTATTAATTAATTAGCACTATAAATTTTTGTGAAACAAAATAAAGAATTTTCGAAATTGAAAGTTGAGTTTTATTGGTTTTTTAATTATTTATTATAGCTACAGTTAGAGATAGATAGAGATATTGTTGGCTTAGGGTTAAAGCCAACTCCCGTATGTCAAATCCAATAAGTACAGACTTTAAATTATTATTAGATTGAAGAAAATTGTAAAAATTGCGTGACATTTTTAAAATGTTTATTTGCATAAGATCAGAGAAAATATATAGCAATATAAATATATAGCGATAAAAGCATATACAAGTTTAGAAGAATAAATAAAAGAAGAAATGTTGATTGAAACAAAACAAAACTTTCAGATTAGATAGTTTAAATGCCTGTGTAGGAATCTGATTCATAGTTATTTATTATTGGCCCTTATTGACAACGATTTATTTTGAGTTTTTGAAGTGAACCAACCTGCAAAGCGTAGCTGAACTGAGTACCAAGGGCGCATGGCATTTCTTGATAATCTCCATGAACACATTGGTAAAATTTATCACACTCCGGATGTGGGAGAAGTTTCTCTATAGTGTAATCTTTCGGGCAGCCGTTTGGGTAAGTGCCTAATTCATTACCACCACCACTACCACCTTCACCTCCGTTTTCATCGTCCCCTTCACTTTCATTTCCATCACCTCCTCCATTGCCTCCATCGTCGTTGCCGCCATTACCGCCACCTCCACCGTTGCCGCCATTACCGCCACCTCCACCATTGCCTCCATTTCCGCCATTACCTCCGCTTCCACCATTTCCTCCATTTCCACCACCTCCTCCATTGCCACCGTTACCTCCACCTCCACCATTTCCTCCGTTGCCTCCATTTCCGCCGTTTCCTCCGTTGCCTCCATTTCCGGCACCAGAGTTTCCTCCACCATTTCCACCATTACCGCCGCTTCCTCCATTACCACCGTTGCCAGCACCGGAGCCATTTCCTCCGTTGCCGCCACCACCACCATTTCCACCACTTCCGGCTCCAGAGCCATCACCTCCATTGCCTCCATTTCCGCCGTTGCCGCCGTTACCACCATTTACGCCACCCGATAGGCCTTTAGCCCCGCCAAGACCGGCGTGACCACCACCATTTTCACCATTCTTGCCATCTTCGCCATCTTCCCCATCTCGGCCTCTTCTGGGGTTACAGGTCGAAGCAAGGAAATCACCGCAGTTCTGAAAAATATAATTATCTTATTACATTACTTAAAACAAAATATAATTTATGTGACGGGTGATTACAAATTGGTCACAATTCCTCCGTCTACCAAAGCGTCGGCATTCATTACAATAATATTGTAAGGGCCAGAACCAGTCTGTTGCACAGAGCCCCGTTAACAAAGACGTTTCCTACTGAATGCTGTCCCCGACACGACATCTTTATATGTTCGCCTAGTACACAGTATTGATATTGTGTACTTTATGTATTAACTTAACGGCTCAAATATGTCTTTCCTCCAACTTCGATTTAGTAGTCCCTTTGGAGTAGTCTTGGGCCGTGTGTCAAGTATTAATTAAACATTTAAGTAGACGCCTGGTAGGTGACCCTAGACCTGGTGCTTTCAACGAATAAGTATCGCAATACAGCGAGGAAATGCCAGCATTAAATGTACACTGCCACTGGAAATTATTAAAATTTGTTTTGATTTTCTATAGCTTTAAAATTTTCATGATAGTTTTAAAAATTATCGCTCGCCGCAAATTATCAATTCATAGTTTCACTTCATTATTGATAACAGTGATTTATAATCAATATATATAATCCTTTTATCATAATTAGATAGCGAACATATCGTTATCATTAGAAAATAGCAATCAGCTCTTGACATTGAATAATTTTACGAAATTCGTATAACTCTCCGTGGACATATAATATACAAATATAAAGTTTTTACAATATTCTAAACCTAAATGATAATATAGGATAAATAGAAAATTAAAACAAATTTAAAAACTTTGTTCATTTCAGAACCACTTATAAATTACTTTATTCAAATATTTATATAAATAGTAACTAACAATATGCCTAGATAAAAGAAAATCGCAGCTATAGTTCCTAAGCGTGGTTAGCAAAAAAACGTCATATCAGAGAATCTTCTTCTGAAAATTCAGATCGTTTGGCAAGTCAGAGAGAGCCTAACGCAATCGCAAGCCAGACAATCTAGCGCCGAAAGTTCGCAGCGCGTTGCTGAAAATACAGACAGAATCTCACGAGCACGTGCAAGGGAATCTAACGCTGAACACTCGCAGCGCCTCGCTGAGAATAGAGTTAGAAAATCGCAAACGCGTGCACGGGACTCTAAAACTTGCAGCGGCACAGAGAAATAGGCAACAGTCGTTAAGAACTAGAACGCGCAAGACAATATTAGCCCATAGTAATAGATCGCCATTCAGTTACGATCCACACATTGATTATGCTCATAAGTACTTGTAGGCTTATATTATCACACAAAATATGTTTCTGTAGACTGTACAGTAATAGAAGGTATATAATATATCTAATTATTAAAAGTATATACCTATACTTTAAAACTCGGTGAAATGCTTTTAAAAATTACCCGTTGATGTCATTTATTATGTTTTTATTTTGTTTTCAATCAAGTCCCGTACCCGAAGGGAGCCAGCGATACACTATTGCTAAATACATTAATAGTCCTGCATTTGTACGTTTATGTAAAATTGTTAAAAAAAAATTGCCACCCATTTCAACATCATCTTATTGGTTTAGCAGTGTAAAAATAGTGTATGTATTTTTGTGAATCAATCTCAGTTAAATGCCCCAATTGAATTGAATTTAGGACAGTTCTCTACATATACTTTCGTAGCTGCATTTGTACCCAAGAAGAGGAGAAGAGTCTTACCTGATTTTCCGACGAAAAGAAGGTTTGTTTCGGACATTTCGACCACGCAACACGCCGTCCATTTTCGCATACGTAGTACTGGTTGCATTCGGTTTCGTGGGGGATCAGATATTGTTGGCCGTCGTTAGGACATTCCAACTGTGGCCTGGCGTAGGATAGACCTACGAGGCCCAGTAGAAGAAGTTTAACTGGAACAAATAAACATGATTATAAAAAGCGCATCCTGAGTTTTTTAGGACATGGAACACGCAGACTTCCAGAAGAAGTAATCGTGACTGGCAGAGTGGAGGGCTCCAGACCAGTGGACTGATCAAGTAAAGGCGATTACAGGCCATCACCCAAGCGCAGAGGCTTGGCACTAACACAACCTTCAAAAATGAAGAATGCGATTGAAGATGAAGTAACAAATGGGCCGGTTGAGATGCTTCGGTAGAAAGCTGACGTGATCGTGATGGTTCTTATGATGAGACGTGTGACTCGTAAACGACTGGATCTATTATGATGCGATTTTGTTGGAGCTTTCCATGTCCGAGTTATCAGGTATTTTGTTGCATGAATAGGGATTACTTTCAAATATTCGGAATACTAAAGTTCGGGAACGCACTTGCGAGCCCTCTGGCAATGAGTATATATGGCTATCACTTGACATCAGATGAGCCCTCTGCCCATTTCCTCCTGTTATATTAAACCCATGTTTGCTGATGGGTAACCAGAAATTTGTACAAAAATACTATATTATACGCAGACATGTTCCTATTAACTTGTTTGTCCAGGATAAAAAGCCTTTTCCCGGACCTGGAGATGAAGCATAGCTGACAAATCACTTTTCATCATTGCGCAATAAAAAATACGTGAATTTGAATCATATGATTAAATTTAGGAAATGGCCTGTTATCTCTGCACTACCGATAATAATTAAGTAGCTAAAATGTAGATAATATTTAATTACCGCTTCTAAGTAATAAATGTTGAATTTAAAAGAAACAAAGTTAAATTTTTCAGGGGCAATCGGGCAGGAGAGTGATTGACACTCTGAATGTCAGAAGGCTCTCTCTGAATTGGCACGCTCTTTTCTAGAAGGACCCTTAGTCGAATTGGTTCGGAAACCAGCAAGAAACTGGTTCCACATAGTTGTGGAGCATAAACTGCCTTATAAACGCTCAGTTGTGGAAGGGACGTCGAAGTCATACGGGTGGAATTTCATGTACCTCGACGTCCAATGATGAAACTAAGAACTCGGTAGAAGCAGAGGGATCCCACACCTCTACGCAATGCCAAACGATCAAGCCACTCGAAAAAGGATTGGTCGTTGACGATAACTGTCACTTGCTTATGTCCTAAGTTTAAGTTTTTGTGAGAAAATAAATAAAGATTACACAATTTTACGGTTTAAACAACAAAGAACAAGGTGGAGGAAGGATGCTGTCCTGTTCTTCAAACCCAGAGGATCCTCAAACAGTCTAACCACTACCTGGCCTGAAGACAGTTGCTAATGTTGAGAAGTTCTAAATGTCCTTAACCGGAATAACTTCATTAGCGTGTTTCAGTGTCGTTGCAGTAATTGTAGTCACTAGAGGTCCAGAAAGGCGTGTGTTCTGACAGTTTTTAGGATATTAAACTATGGCAAGCCGGTTTCCTCACGATGTTTTCCTTCACCGTTCGAGCGAATGTTAACAGCGCACATAAAAGTCTCTTGAGGCACAGATGGGGATCGAACCCACGACCCCAGGGACAGTCCCACGGCCATGCAAAGGAGGCCAGCACTGCTCTCATTTTAAAATATAATAAATAGCAGCTAACTTCAATATCATATTTGAAAAGCTAACTTCCGGCAGAACAGTGTTGGCCTAGTGGCTTCAGCGTGCGACTCTCATCCCTAAGGTTCGATACCTGGCTACACCAATAGACTATGTGCGCATTTAACATTCCGTCGTACGAAGGAAAACATCGTGAGGAATCGTACCTTAGACTCCCAACGCGACGGCGTGTGTCACAGGAGGCTGATCACCTACTTGCCTATAAGTTCATAAAACAGATACAGAAATCTGAAGCCCAGACCTAAAAACATTCCAGTCGGCAGCAAAGGTATACCGCTATTAATTATTAAATAATTACGCATTTAAAAAATATACTCACTTATCATAGCGTCCGATTTGACGCGAATTTATTTCGATTACAACACTTTCCTGTTTAATTAACTTTCGTACTGATTAAAGTATAATCAACGCTAATATATATACTACAAGTATATATACTGATTATGATAAATGCATTGATATGATTATATCTTTTTTACTAATCCTTCCTGTTTTAATTCAGTGTTCTTGGTAATTATAATCAGCATCACCTTGATGGCTGGAAGTCTTCCACAGTCAGCTTCGAAAAACACTTTTTGCGAACAAGCGAACTGTGGAATCAACTGGTGGGACTCTTCCTGAGAGATACGACCTCCAACTGTTCAATGTCAGAGTGTACTCCTTCCTCAAAGGTCAGGAACGCACCCACAATATGGAAGTCCATAGGCTGCGACGAATGCCCTTTTCATGAATGAAAATGCATAAATCTATTGCGATATATCATATTTGACTTACATCCAGCCCTGACCTTCACATGCTGCTGCTGGATTTTTTTATAGAACATGGGCAGGAGGCTCACATGATGACACTTTAACCAAAAACTTAAAAAACGCTCAGTTTTGAAGGACGTCGAGGTGATGCGGGTGGAATTTTATATGCTTCGCCTGATGAAACTCAGCTGATCCGAACAAGTTCTCTGAACACTCTCCGTGTTAAATCCACAGTGATGCCACATCTATACGCAACGGCAAGGGATCAAGCCGCTCGGAAAGTGACTGGTCGCCGACGTTTCGAATCGCTCTTTGTTATATACGCTCAATTGGAAGGTGCTGATGCTGGGGAGCTCCCGCCCAGAGGTACAGTACTCCGTGGAGTAGAGGATGGAGGAGGAAGACGATGTGGAGCCGAATTTGCGCTTTATACAATTGCAATTGCCTGGAGTGATGTACCGTCTTACCTTGTCACCAAAATTCTTGGTGTGCATCACATATTACGTAAGATGTCATGTGGAAAACAAAAAAACAACGCGATTAAAAAGAGCGGCGGAGAGTTTATTGCCAGTTCTTCTGTTCCCTGTGACACCCTGTGCGCCCTTGATTTAAGAACTGGCAGTAAATGTAAAATTAGAAGTATTTTATGTATATATTATATAAATTTCATATTTTTTGACGTTCATAAGTGTACTTTGTGTTACCTATATGAATAAATGATTTTGACTTTGACAGCTCTTTAATCTTACGTACAGCACAACAGCAGTGGTATGGTGGTCCAGCCAGTCAGAGACCTAATTGGCTGATAGAAATTGGCATAGAAAAAATATTTTTGATAGAATTTGTTTTGATTATTCAATACTTTCGAGAGCGATACAACGATTATAACAGTCATACATTCGATGTCATTTTTAGAGTATAATTTGTCTTCCTCAATAGGGTTCACCGACGATTCTTTCTCTTGATGTCTATTTATCTATAGGCGGAAATATAAGAGCCTTTCTTCCAACTTCGATTTTATTCCGATGGTAGTAGAGACTCTTGGGCCGTGGGGTTCAAGTGCACAGGCGCTAATTAAAGATTTACGTTGGCACCTAGTATCGTTGACCCCAGAGCTGGTATTTTCTTGAATGAATAAGTATCGCAATACAGCAAGGAAATGCCAGCGCTAACGGTACACTGTCACAGGGACCAAACTTTTTAAATTTCTTTTAATTTTTAATATCTCTTTTATAACTGTACTGTTTGCGTTTGTTATGTACACTTGACATGATGCAGTGTATTTTTGTAGGACGTGTGTTCTCTGTGTCAGTGTGTTTCTTTAGTATACGAAGGATATAAGTAATCTACACTTACACATATTATAAAGGAAATCACTAAGACAACATACTAAATTACATGAAACAGAAAACTTTGTCTTCTTTAAGTTTTTTTTATAAGTTATGTTTTTCATGGCCAAGTCGTGCAAACAAGTCCAAAATCCTTTTCTCGAAAGAGGTCAGGCTTTTCGAACCCCCTATAACTTCGTTGTGAGTGGAAATAGCGTAATCGAGCAGACATAGTAGAAGCACGGTATATTTGAAATTTCATACAATTTTATCCAGTAGTTTAAGAATTATAAACAGTCAAAGCTTTTTAATTTTGTCACTCACTGATGGACAGACCCATCGTTCCATCATACTCTCAGGCACTAGCAGATATAGAAGCTTCAAATTTATAATTCAATGAGTGGTCAGTGTGTAAATCAAAGAAAAACTAAAATATTTTGCAGTCTTGGTCCTATTTTCTAAAGTCCTACTGCATAAACAAGTCAAGTCAAACTATTTATTTAAAATGAAATGGACACTATAAGATGTTGTTAGGTTAGCTAATTAAGTGATAACTTAAGACAGAAATACTATTAAGTAGGAATGGAATTAACCGACTTGGTGTTACATAAATCTCAACTTTACGAAAGAAGATCTGAATTGCGAGAATTGTTTTTTTTTATAAGTTATGGTTTTGATGGCCTAGTCAATGTATTTGTTTAAAACAAAAGATTTTTAATATTGATCTGTTCAATAAGATGTTACGTTAAATTACGTAATAACTGGAGATAGAAGGTCCCTCAAGTAGGAACTGAATTAACAGAATTCGTATTACAAGAATCTCAACTTTACGGTAGAACAACTGTTTACGAGACTTGATTTTTTTACAATTTATGTTTTTGATTGCACACATGTGGTTTCAATTTCCGCACTTAGACGGTAATTTAATCAGTTGCGCGTAAAGTCCTGGCTAATTAAGTCAGCCTAGCGACTTCCAGAAGCTCAGAAGTTTCCAGGAGACTTCGCAGGCTTCGCGGAGCAGTGAGCTTAGAGGGTTTCTGTTGGGAATCCATCGCCACGCATTCCATGGCGTGGGTGACTGATTCCTCTGCGCTGAAAAAGCCTCTGCAATCCGTCTGTCTAGGAAAAAAGAGATGTTTATTAAGGAGACAGGGGCCCTATTATTATTTTGAGATGAGTTCTGTTGAGGCTTATGTATCTTATTTATTATACTTATTTTCTTCTGCATATCTTCTTCCAAGTTGTCCCACTGTTCGACGGTCACAATGTAGAGTTTCCTTCACTCACCCATAGCCTTCAAACATCGCATCATTCCCAGTGTAGACTCGTTATCTTCTGGTACGATTTCAAGCTTTTTGTTATAAGGTCTAATGCTTCTTCCCAATTGAGTGCGCAGTCGCCATTCTTTTTCTGTCTTATAACGTTTTCAAGTAATCCATTTGCTGATTCTTTTTGCTGCAATTTATTGTTGATATGTATGATATCCACAACTTACTTAGTTGGGTTTCGCCGATATTCCTCCTGTAAAAAACGTGTACTTACTTATGTACACGCGTTAGAAGTTATACTTCTTTGGCGTAACAAGATATCATCATATAAAAGTCGCTTTGTCTGTATCGGATTTACTGCTAGCTGCTAAAAATCTGTTAATGGAGAATAGCAATGGGACGGAAAGTACCACTATAGTGATAGATACTACTATATTGACGATATCATGAAGAGTGCTTCATGATATTGTCAATAAAATACGTCAGGAAAAGAACCTAAATGCTAAACTGTTTTTTTCTTTGTAAAAAGGCAATTCATTCAGATTAAACGATAATATATGATATACTTATGAATAACAAATTTGATTTAAGTATTTTCGCTTCTGTATTTTAATCTTATCTTAAAGATAAATAAAATAAAGATCCTATTGTTATAAATGAAAGCAATTATGCCGACTTATTTTTCATTGTTCTCTTCATTTGAGGGACCGCTGATGGGGTCCCAAATTTCTATAGCTGAATGTGACTTACACCGACAGCTTCAAAGAATCTAGTCTAAATAGTAGATTTGAATATTAGGACTCTGTCTGTTACCTTGGGTCTCTTGGTGCTATCTACGTAGGTACTATTGTGTTAGGGTACATCTGTAGGGTTGTAAGGTTCTTAAGCCTCTCATATATTTAGTTACCAAGTACATACACTACATATATACAGATACTTCTGATATTACATATAAAATTAAATAGTCCACTGGTTGGCCTATACGTCCAGAGATGGATATCTCAAAAACTCTGTAAGATTTTGATGATAGACTTAAGGTGGAAGATATGATATGTGCCTGGACACCTAAGTCATCAAGGATGATGATCGTTACTACGCTATCCTACTGAAGGATGTTATAAAGTTCTTCATTGTAGGGAATTCGCCAAACACCATCCTTTTAAGAATTCCATCATCCGTCGTCGAGGGTGAAGGCGAAATTACATCCATTCCACCTGTGCCTGACGTTCCACAACCAACACGGAGCTTTTAAGGACACTATCTGCCTTGCACCATTGTGGAACCAGCTGCCAGTCGAGGTTTTTCCTATACCACTTAGCCTTCAAGAAAACAGCGTACCAGTGTCGGTTTTTTGTGATGGTGTGCGCCGCATCGGAAAAATTTACTCTCATCATTTTTCCCTAATGCGCCAAATGAAGTATAACTTCAAAAACATCTAGATTATTTTTTAATATCACACTATCTTAGGCCGAAAGAATGATAGCGTTAATGTTGATTCACTACACAAAAACACTTTAATAAGAAATTAAAATAATTACAAAAGAATTTTAGTCAATTGCAAGAATACTCCTTTTTCTCGCTCTGGCACGAACGTATTTTGGCTTTCGTTTTGTTTCGGAACATCCAATTTTGTGCCCCATGTTTAAGCATGAATTCAACTTCTTCTTCAGTTTAAGTGGGGACTTTTAAGACATTAAGAAAAAAAAACAAATACCTGTTCCTTTTTATGTCCTTAAGACTTAAATGAAACTTGTATCCCAAGATAAGCATGAACGATTGCTGTTCGAAAGTCCTCTTTTTTTTGCTGGCCTAAGTATTTACATCACCTACCAAGTGTTGTAGTTCATTTGGCGTTTCCGAAAATAATATTTTATCGTCTGTAAAACGTTGGTTGCTCAAATAACTCGAATCTACTTATATTCCTTTCCTTTCCCATTGTCGGTCTTTTATAATATTTTGAAGGATGACATCTTGGGTAATAAGGTTACTATGTATTGATTGCCAGTAACCTCTATAAACTCCAAATTTAAAAATCGAATGCGCTTCGCGCCTTTTTATTTTTATGCCTTTTAATTGGTCCGCCTGGGCTATTTATAGACTGCCAGTAACCTCAACAATATCGAACTCTTTGGTTATAGAACAATATTCAAGTTCTAAATTCAAATTACTTTCAATCCCAAAAGATTGAAGAATGCGTTTCGTTGAAAAATAATATTATTTTCTTCTATTTGAAAAACTTACGAGCAATATAATATTATAAAATACCTAGACTTTAAGGATTAAACATTTACGTAGACTGACAATAATAGTGACTAATATGTATGATAGGGAAATTTTGTTTTTGATATACGAGTCATGCGCTTTTAACCTTACATTATATCTTAGACCTTGAGCCTTTTAACCGACTACAAAAAACACTTATTAGTAAGAAATTTATTTTGGCTTATAATCTCTATATAATTTATAGAAAGTAAATAATGAATTTATTTATTTATTATTTCTTTGTTTAATATACAATATGTATGGGTGTAACAAATAATTAATAATAATAATTAAACATGTGTTAGATAATTGAGGCCCTTGATACGATTGTATCGGTAAAAAAATTAAAAAAGACCTACGTAACGTAAGGCTTGAGAATAAATATTTGAATTTGGAATCTGTTCATAGCTTAACGCTTACATTCTTCGGTTCCAATAAATACGTAGGGATCAAAAGTTATTTGAATTTAGAATGTGAATGTAACTAAATGTTTAAATTACCAAGTAGATCGGAATTGTATGAATATATTACTGGCAGTCAATAAATTCAAGTAGGCAATTAAAAATATGAAAAAACAAAAACGCAATGCTATTGTTCCTATCAATGGGTCTGGGTTTAAAAGTCATTTGAATTTGGAACATGTTAATATTGTATTTAATATTTCAATAACAAAAGAGTTCGACATTATATGATGATACTGGAAGTCAATAAATAGTACACGCGTACTAATTAAAAATATGACAAAAAAACTGTGAACGCCCTCAGACTTTGAACCTAATCAAGTAAGTCCATGCTCCAAGTATTATATTGGAAAATTGTTTTTTTATAATTAACTGTTCTCTAAGTTACTTTCGATTTAAAAGGTATTTGAATCTGATATGAAATAATCAATTTGCAATTATTATTAGATTTGTATTTTTTAGTTTTTCTAATAACTTTATCATAGATAAAGATCAGCTTTGATAAAAATCATACGCATTCATGTTACGTAAAGCGTTTGTAGTATATTAATAAAAATACATTTTTTATTGAATGCGCAAACGTATATTATGTCATAATATGCTAGTCATAATATGCTAATTTTGCCAATATGCCAAAATTATCGCTTAAGATACTGCCTGACTGCTAACGTTTTCCCCGTTGTATTAAAAAGGCCAGCAACTCACTTGTGAGCCTTCTGGCATTAATTGTCCATGGGCGATATCACTTAGCATCAGGTCAGCTTGCTGCCTATTTCCCCCTGTTCTATAACAAAAGGGAGCTCTTTTGTTACATAAAAAACGTGTTTATCTTTATTTTGAATCTTTTGTCTCCTTTTTATCACTCATCGTTTCAAAGATTATCGATTAAAATAACATTTTATCAACCATTATCATTAATTAAATTAAATATAAATAATTGGATAACTAGTAGCAGTCTTAATTAAAAATCGAAGGAATTGATTGGAACCATGATAGGTAAGTACTATATCAAATGTTATATATATATTATTATTCAGACTAATAAAATAATTAAAAAAAGATTATAAATTTGAATTTGTTTTTAATGTTTAAACATATTCCAAATTTAAATCTTTCAATAACCAAAGGCTGACAAAATTCGGACCAATTAATGGAATGTGAACATAAAGATTTGAATTTCGTATGTAGATATTATTAGAAAATGTTTCAATAACCAAATAGAGTGGTATTGGCGCAATCAAAAACCGTAAAACTTAAAACGCGCGAAACTCATTTTCTCTTTTGTTCTTAATTGTCAGTAGCGATGGTTAGTTATTTGAATTTGGAATGAGCATCTTATTAGTAAATGTTTTAATAGCCAAAGAAATCGCTATTGTATAAAGAGCTTACTGGCAGTCAATAAATAGAACACGCGGACCAATAAAAATATGACAAATTAAACGCATTATTTCTTTTGTTTTTAATTGGTAGGGATTATTTGAATTTGGAATGTGAATATTGTTGTATGTTTCTATTACAAAAGAGGTTGAAACTGTATAAAGAGTTTACAGTCAATAAATAGAACACGCGGACAAATTAAAAATATAAAAGTAAGAAGGCGCGAAACGCATTCTCTCTATTGTTCCCATTAATGGTCTGGGTTTAAAAGTTATTTGAATTTGGAACGTGTTAATATTGTATTTAAAATTCAATGTCCAAAGAGATCGACATTATATCATGATACTGGCAGTAAATAAATAATACACGCGTACCAATTAAAGATATGAAAAAATATTAATATTGAATTTGGAATGTAGATATTGTTAGAAAATGTTTTAATAACCAAAGAGATCGATACTGTATGAAGAGGCCATGGATTCAAAAAAAAATTCCGAACCAATTCAAACTCTAGTAGCACAAATCGTGCCAAAAAAAAAAAAAAGCGCGCGAAATCTTAACTTCTTTCGTCTTCTCAAGAGATTCCATGTAATTTGAATTTGGAATGCGGATATTGTCGCTAAAAATAAACCATAACCCGCCACCAAATTGATACCATAGTCCAAGGTCCATAGAAATCTTGCTAAAGTACATTTTTGTCTAAATTTACAGTAAAGCTACTTGTACTGTGCCTGGTGGGTCTGGCCTACGCTAGGCCACAATGGGACTGCCCATATGGCAGCCAGAACCTATTGGCTCACGAAAGCAGCTGCAACAAGTATTACATATGTGTTGGTGGGAGAAAGATAGAAGCCCAGTGCCCTATCAACAGTCACTTCTCCATCGAAATTCAGGTAAAACATATTCTATATATCTTAGGATTTTATACACTTAACGAAGAGCGTACCAATTTTTTAAAAGGCCGGCAACGCACTTGCGAGCCTTCTTGCAATGTTAGTGTCCATAGGCGGTATTACATAACATCAGATGAGCCCGCTTGCCCTTGTTATATAAAAAGGGCCGGCAACGCACTCGCTAGTCCTCTGGCATCGAGTGTCCATGAGCGGTATTACTTAAAATGCGCCACCTGCCCGTTTGCCCCGTTATAAAAAAGGGCCGGCAACGCACTTGCGAGCCTTCTTTAAATGTTAGTCTATGAGCGGCGGTATCACTTCACATCAGGTGAGGTCATCATATTATTTCCATTTATTTTTATTGTAACTTCTGCTACCTTAGTTGTTCTTCATGATGATGTATTCTTTATCTATTCTTCTCTTCTCGACATTTGACACACCTGTAGCTTTGTACGTGCTTGAGTGAGAACTGGCAGTAAATGTAAAATTAGAAGCATTTAATGTATATTTATTTTTTGACGTTCATAAGTGTACATTGTGTTACCTATATGAATAAATGATTTTTGACTTTTGAGTGAGAGTATTTTATCATTTTCTTATTTTTAGTAGAAGAAGAAGTAGAAGTGGTAAGATTACTTAATAAATAAATACTTACAGGAATGTACTGAGGAGGTGTTGGCTGAATGTCGACTTGAATCAAAGAACACACCAGACGTCTTCCCAAACGGATGCCCCAGGGATTATAGAATAGAGAAGCTGTTCGCTCACCCAAGATGTGATAAATTCTACCAATGCGTGCATGGAGATTACCAGGAAATGCCATGTGCACCCGGCACGCAGTTCAGCTACAGATTGCAGGTAATATAATAACCGGGCACCACCACTATGTGAAACCAGCTGCTCACTGACTTCGGGTCCTTCAAAGAACGTAACAATTCTTAAAAGGCCGGCAACGCACTTTCGAGTTATTGAAAGTGTCCATGGGCGACAGGTATTTCCGAACCAATTCGGGTTCTTCAAAGAGCGCAACAAATCTTAAAAGGCCGGGATCTCAAGCCACCTGGCATTGAGAGTGTCCATGGATATCACTTAACATCAGATGAGCCTCCTGAACCCACACTTACACACCGATTGTACATAAAATATATATAAAACAGGCACTAAAAGACATGAACGCACACAAGTTTTGTGTCCCCATGTCCATCATCAATCGTCATCAATTGTTTCGGGGTCCTTCCTATCAACGCAGCTTCGGTCTGCCGGGTTTTCTGTTGCTACCAGTATTCTCTGTTCTTTCTCAGCATGGACCTTAGGGTTCAAATAGTCAATAGATTCCATTACTTTAACAATATTGTAGGTTCTAATCTGAAATTATTATTTAATTTCGCAAAAACACTAACCTTCTGTCCATATATTAATAATAATATTAATTATTATTAATATATGGCACTAACTCCGTTGGGGCATCGACTCTCTAGGGCGCGGGTTCCACACGTGAAAACGCAATATCTAATATTTCCTAACTCTGTATTCAACAGAAATGCACATGGCCCCACGACGCTGACTGTGCTGGTGGAGATAATGGTGATGACAGTGGTGATGGTGACGACGGAGATGTAGACGGTGGAGACGGTGGTGATGGAGGCAACGGTGGAGACGGCGGCGATGGAGGCAACGGTGGAGACGGCGGCGATGGAGGCAACGGTGGAGACGGTGGAGATGGAGGCAACGGTGGAGACGGAGGCAACGGTGGAGACGGTGGAGACGGAGGCAACGGTGGAGACGGCGGAGATGGAGGCAACGGTGGAGACGGTGGAGATGGAGGCAACGGTGGAGACGGTGGTGATGGAGGCAACGGTGGAGACGGTGGAGATGGAGGCAACGGTGGAGACGGCGGCGATGGAGGCAACGGTGGAGACGGTGGAGATGGAGGCAACGGTGGAGACGGTGGAGATGGAGGCAACGGTGGAGACGGTGGAGATGGAGGCAACGGTGGAGACGGTGGAGATGGAGGCAACGGTGGAGACGGTGGTGATGGAGGCAACGGTGGAGATGGTGGAAACGGAGGAGACGGTGGAAATGGAGGAAATGGTGGAGACGGTGGTGACGGAGGAAATGGTGGTGATGGAGGAAACGGTGGCGGAGATGGTGGAAACGGTGGAGACGGTGGTGATGGAGGCAACGGTGGTGGAGATGGTGGAAACGGAGGAAATGGTGGTGATGGAGGAAACGGTGGTGGAGATGGTGGAGACGGTGGTGATGGAGGCAACGGCGGAGATGGAGGAAACGGCGGAGATGGAGGAAATGGTGGAGACGGTGGCGATGGAGGAAACGGTGGTGGAGATGGTGGAAACGGAGGAGACGGTGGAAATGGAGGAAATGGTGGAGACGGTGGTGACGGAGGAAATGGTGGTGATGGAGGAAACGGTGGCGGAGATGGTGGAAACGGTGGTGATGGAGGCAACGGCGGAGATGGAGGAAATGGTGGAGACGGTGGCGATGGAGGAAACGGTGGTGGAGATGGTGGAAACGGAGGAGACGGTGGAAATGGAGGAAATGGTGGAGACGGTGGTGACGGAGGAAATGGTGGTGATGGAGGAAACGGTGGCGGAGATGGTGGAAACGGTGGAGACGGTGGTGATGGAGGCAACGGTGGTGGAGATGGTGGAAACGGAGGAAATGGTGGTGATGGAGGAAACGGTGGTGGAGATGGTGGAGACGGTGGTGATGGAGGCAACGGCGGAGATGGAGGAAACGGCGGAGAAGGAGGAAATGGTGGAGACGGTGGTGACGGAGGAAATGGTGGTGATGGAGGAAACGATGGTGGAGATGGTGGAAACGGAGGAAATGGTGGTGATGGAGGAAACAGTGCTGGAGATGGTGGAAACGGTGGAGACGGTGGTGATGGAGGAAATGGTGGTGATGGTGGAGACGGTGGCAACGGTGGAGACGGTGGAGATGGAGGCAACGGTGGAGACGGTGGTGATGGAGGCAACGGTGGAGATGGTGGAAACGGAGGAAATGGTGGTGATGGAGGAAACAGTGCTGGAGATGGTGGAAACGGTGGAGACGGTGGTGATGGAGGAAATGGTGGTGATGGTGGAGATGGAGGCAACGGTGGAGACGGTGGAGATGGAGGCAACGGTGGAGACGGTGGTGATGGAGGCAACGGTGGAGATGGTGGAAACGGAGGAGACGGTGGAAATGGTGGAGGAATGGTGGAGACGGTGGTGACGGAGGAAATGGTGGCGATGGAGGAAACGGTGGTGGAGATGGTGGAAACGGAGGAGACGGTGGAAATGGAGGAAATGGTGGAGACGGTGGTGACGGAGGAAATGGTGGTGATGGAGGAAACGGTGGCGGAGATGGTGGAAACGGTGGTGATGGAGGCAACGGCGGAGATGGAGGAAATGGTGGAGACGGTGGCGATGGAGGAAACGGTGGTGGAGATGGTGGAAACGGAGGAGACGGTGGAAATGGAGGAAATGGTGGAGACGGTGGTGACGGAGGAAATGGTGGTGATGGAGGAAACGGTGGCGGAGATGGTGGAAACGGTGGAGACGGTGGTGATGGAGGCAACGGTGGTGGAGATGGTGGAAACGGAGGAAATGGTGGTGATGGAGGAAACGGTGGTGGAGATGGTGGAGACGGTGGTGATGGAGGCAACGGCGGAGATGGAGGAAACGGCGGAGAAGGAGGAAATGGTGGAGACGGTGGTGACGGAGGAAATGGTGGTGATGGAGGAAACGATGGTGGAGATGGTGGAAACGGAGGAAATGGTGGTGATGGAGGAAACAGTGCTGGAGATGGTGGAAACGGTGGAGACGGTGGTGATGGAGGAAATGGTGGTGATGGAGGAAACGGTGGTGGAGATGGTGGAAACGGAGGAAATGGTGGTGATGGAGGAAACGGCGGTGGAGATGGTGGAAACGGCGGAAATGGTGGTGATGGAGGAAACGGCGTTGGAGATGGTGGAAACGGTGGAAATGGTGGTAATGGAGGTAACGGTGGTGGTAATGGTGGTAATGGCGGCAACGGAGGTAACGGTGGAAACGGAGGTGGTAATGGTGGCAATGGCGGCAACGGGGGAAACGGCGGTAATGGTGGTGGCAATGGCGGAAATGGCGGAAATGGAGGAAATGGAGGAAATGGAGGAAATGGTGGTAACCTATAAAAGCAATAGACTCATTGAAATAAAATAAGTATTCAAATTGATTTTTTTTTATTTTTTACTTGCATCCCTTAAAATTAAACATGTTATTAAAATTACAAAATATATTTAGTAAATAAAATTACGAAGTTATCATAAACTCTAGTGCGTAATCTTTTCTCTATTTTATTTTATTATATTATATTATATTATATTTTATTATATTTTATTATATTTACTTAAGGCAACTTGAAATTATGAATATTTTAAAACATAGTAACTTTTAACTACGTAGTTACTATACATTATCATTTTAGTTAGTACTTTTAACATGCAGCTTAAACTACTTTAATAACCGAAAAAAACGTCTTAGCCTTATTTTACAATTATATTAATGTCAACCGAAAATTTCACAAATGGGACGTAGATTTCAACTTCAAATTCATCTCACCCTAATCAAATCAATCTCAACTTTCTTAAATAAATCTCAACCCTTTAGAAGTACATTTGTATACCTTTCTCGTTTAAAAATAAATCAGTGGCGCACCTTCATAGGCCTGGGCCTCAGCTTTCTATATGTATTTCATGGTAATCAATATAATAGGCAAATAGGTGATCAGTCTCCTGTGCCTGACACGTCATCGTATTGAGTTTAAGGCAAGCCATGGGCAAGGCTGTGTAAAAAGCTAAATTATTAGGAAAAAATTAAGACGAAAAGTACAGCATCGAAATCGTACCGGGAAATACATATTACCGCCGTTTACGCGCAAAGTCTAAGAAAAATAGCCTAGATCTATTCCGACAACTGACGTTGCAAGTAAAATCGCACGTCTGCAGAGCCTCGTTGAAATTAAGACCGGCAGGACACGTGTGCAGCACCTCCTCGCCATTGGAACAACTGTAGAATTTGTCGCATTCAGTCTCGTGGGCCCAGTGTGGTACATGACATTCTACACATTTGTTAGAAACTATGCACGGATCACAACCAGCCTTTGAAGGGTGTTCGCAAATCTGGAAATTAAATAGTTCTATTAATATATTATGTAATCCCTTGTGTTGCGTAGAGATGTGGGGTCTGCATATTCTACCACATTTACCACGAATAGTGTTTATAGTTGTTCGGATTACCAGCAGCTGAGTTTCATCGGACGTCGAGGCATACGTGATTCCATCAGTATCACCTCGACGTCCCTTCCATTACTGAGCATTTAAAGGCAGATTTTGGGCATGTGGATCCAGCTGCCCACTGAACTGAATTTATTCGACTTAGGGTCATTCAAAGTGCGTATCAATTCTTAAAAGGTTGGCAACGCACTCGCGGGCCCTCTGGCATTGAAAGTGTCCATGGGTCTTAGTATTTGTTTTCGATTTGAATCCAAGGCATGGGGCACAATTCTGCATTAGTATACACGTTTTATTCAATTACAGACTGTATGGCGTCTATTCCTACTATGCCTTAACGTACCCAACGTGTTTTTGGGTGGGGCACAATAAATTATAAACAAGACGGGACTTATAATTGGCCTACTATATCCTTAAAGTCTTGGGATGGTGAGCAAAGTGTTCCCTAAGGCCAAGGTTGTTTGCAATACCCCCAGAACCTTCCAGAGCTCAGATCCCCGTTAACAAAGACGTTGCTAATGAATGCTGTCTCCAACAGTATATCTTTATATGTTCGCAGAGTGCACAGTAGCGATATTGTGTACCTTGTTAATTTAATATTGTATTATCTTTCGACATTATCATGAAAGTTAAAGAGTACTGGCGTTATAATGTATAAAACATGTCGCTTGCCCTAGGGAAAGTCGTAAAGCCACTTTAAGAGCGGCCAACCCGTCTATCTTTTCATACAAACGTTCGTACGTGATTATGGCGTTGTAACAGATATTTCTTTAAAACTTTAGAACTAATAGGCATCTTGTGCACTATATCTAGGTTTCTATTAAAACGCGAAATCAAAATTTTAAGAAACATATTCAGTACAAACCTCCAAAAATCTGCCTTTTTGCACAAATTTTTTATGAAGTTTGGGCGTTTATAATGTACTCATTAATTGTAACCGGAAAGAAAGAAAGAATATTTGCATAGAAACCTTGATAGTGTAATGGAGTTTCTAAATGTAAAACTTTTTTTTCATAATCTTGTAAGGCTTACGAAAAAACACGTATTTCTTGGAACAAGTTTTATGAAATTTCCGCACACTATTTTTCTTTCAATATTATCGCGTTCTCACTTGCTTGTTAGCCATGTGGATGAAACAACAAGCTTTTTGGCCATGCTCGCGTTGCCGTTTGTCGGACGGGGAAGGGCGCTCTTAATGCTTAATTTTACGCCTGTTTTAATGTTTTCAAAACTTTTTATTAAAAAAAACACAAGGGTTTCATTATTCTACGTAAATTATTTTGTGCACAATGTTAGTAATACTCCTTTACCCAATTTTTCTTTCCTGAAATAGATCGCAAAACCATAAATATAGTTTTAGTTTAGATTGTAAACCTTACTAGGTCATAAAAGTGAATGGGACAGTTTAAGAACAAATAAAGAGAGGTAATAATATATATTCTCGGTTTCACCAACGTCATAATATTTCCGCGAAAAGAGTGGTAATAGTTACGTTCTAGACCTTCGTCAAAATTACCGTCATAATGTTCGGTAACTGTGTCGTCCTCAATTATGTTTCAACAGTGAAACAAACATAGAACGCTTTTGCTCTTCAGTCTAATTAGATAACTGTACTGTTAATTTTATGTTCCCCTGGGCAAGCGATTTACCACCAATGTTAAAGCTTATGAAATGTTCGATTTAATTGAACGATAAACAAACAAAATGTTTGCTACATACCTGCAATTTAGCATTAAAATGATTCCCATATGCACATTCTTTTAAGACTCTCTCGCCCTGATCACACTGATAGAATCTAGCACAGTCAGATTCATGCGGTAACAGCAACCGAATGCTATGGTCACAAGGGCATCCATTTGGCAATATTGGTTGATTGATGCAATCGCAAGCTGGTTTCTCAGTAGTTGTTGTTGTAGTAGTAGTGGTAACACAAGAAGGGTCGCAGCCAGCTTTAGAAGGATGATCGCATACCTGTTAATTTATAATAAAATTAGCCGTCCATGCGACTGCGAAAGAAAGAGTCCCCTCGGAAGTATGCTGCGATATTTTCAAACTCAAACTCAAAATAATTTTATTCGTATAGGTAACTAAGTACACATATGAACGTCAACATAAATTATGTTAAATTGATTATAAATTTACGTTTACTGCCAGTTCGCAAGTCAAGGGAGCGTGCAAGAAGACTTGGCAAGAAACCCTCCGCCACTCCAAGTTTTGAGTAGCCAAGTAGCGCTTTCTTAAGATCTCATGACATTTTCACACGTTTTTATTCTATTTCTAAAATATTTTCGTAAGAATTTGATTGTCATTTTAACACGTGTTAGCCCTAGCCTAAATAAAACATTTTAAATTAACCTTAGTTTCAAAACGTTCCTAAATTTTAAGGAAACTAAAATAATGTTATCAAAGCCATCTTGGATGTTGGCCAATCTTTATAAAACTGTCAGTTTTAGGCATCTTAAACCAGTACAGTGCGTCAGCCGGTTGGCTATTTAGTACAAAAAACTAAATAGGTTCTAACTTAGATACAACTAATATAACTTAGGTTCAATTTGAATAATTATTTGTACAATCGACTTATAAACTGCTGGTTTCATTTGAATATTAGTTTTTGTTGGACATTTATCACTATATACTATAATATAGAAATGGTCCAGGAATTTGTGTTTAATATTTTGTACAGTTAAATTGAATATCTTTACTATTATAATGACGATAGATTCTTGTAAAACTCAAAAATTACTGAAAATAACAAACATTCTTTCAAAAATTTAAATTAGTTCAAGAAGATAAAAAAATATTTTAAGACCCTAAGCTCTCGTAAATCGTATGAATAAATACAATGCTTTCAGAAACTGTGGTATACTTGGATTTCAAAATTGTGTGTTGTGACAACAAGTATAAAATTTTTTTGCCAGTGTAAGTTTCTACTAATCTATTATACCACCTTCATGCTGGCCTATGTCTTACTCACCTGCAATTTAGCATTAAAGTGAGTCCCAGGGGCACACTGTCTTAATACTCTATCGCCTTTATCACATTGATAGTATTTCTCACAGTCAGATTCGTGAGGCAACAGCAAGTGAATCTTATGGTCACAAGGACATCCATTTGGCAATATCGGTTGATTGGAGCAATCGCAGGCTGGTTTCTCAGTAGTTGTAGTGGTAGTGGTAACACAAGAAGGATCGCAGCCAGCTTTGGAGGGATGGTCGCATACCTGTAAAGAAAAATCACATGTTTAAATAGCCTGAAGCTATTCTCCGAAAGCGAAAAATACCCGTTGCCTTCGCTGATCATCAATGAAAGCACTTGAAACCTTAGGTAAATAATGTAATATGTTTGCGTTAGACAAAGGTAGTATTTATTAATTTCAATAGTATTGTTGAGGCAATTAGTAGCTGTATAAGGATAGCTAGTCTTTGAAAGTAATTTAGTCTGGAAACCTTATAAATTGCGACAAACGGAGTGTATAGGTCTCTATATATCACTGTTATGACCCGTGTTAAATAAATTTGAGTTGCTGTAGTTCCTTAAAAATCAATTGCTTAAAAATCACCTGTAATTTAGCATTAAAGTGAGTCCCAGGGGCACACTGTCTTAATACTCTATCGCCTTTATCACATTGATAGAATTTTTCACAGTCAGATTCGTGAGGCAACAGCAAGTGAATCTTATGGTCACAAGGACATCCATTTGGCAATATCGGTTGATTGGAGCAATCGCAAGCTGGTTGTTCAGTAGTTGTTGTTGTAGTAGTAGTGGTAACGCAGGAAGGGTCGCAGCCAGCTTTAGAAGGATGATCGCATACCTGTAAAGTATAATTTCATTATTTGAAACCTTAATAAAGCTAACAGGGATATTTACAGAATTATTTGAAACTGTTTCGTGTGAATATAAATCAATTTTCTTAGCGGTGTAACTTTTACTGTGTCAAGTTACACATTGTCAAGTATTGTTGGAATTTACAAGTCATTCATTAATCATTTGCTACCTAAATATAGTGAAACTTACCTGCAATTTGGCATTAAAGTGAGTCCCAGGGGCACACTCTCTTAAGACTCTCTTGCCTTGGTCACATTGATAGTATTTCTCACAGTCAGATTCATGGCGCAATAGCAAGGAAATGCTGTGGTCACAAGGACATCCATTAGGCAATATTGGTTGACTTGTGCAATCGCAAGCTGGTTTCTCAGTAGTTGTGGTAACACAAGAAGGGTCACAACCAGCTTTAGAAGGATGATCGCATTCCTGTAGAGTACAATTATAGTATATTATTTAAAGGCCCTCTGGTAATTTGATTGTCCATGGGCGGCGGTAACCTTTAACATCAGTTGAGCCTCCTGCCTGTTTGCTCCTGTTATATAAAAAATATTATATATAATATATTACTTAATTATAAATATATATATTACTTATAAATATTATATTATAATATATTACTTTTGTTTCTTTGACAGTAGGCTGGACGAGCATATGCTCTAATGTTTCGTTCGTTCACCTGAGGTCAATGACCAGACCACACACCACTTGTCACTGTTTTCGTAGCTATACACTTCACTTAAATAATATTTTTATTTCACCTCATGGTCAATATATAGCGCCTTGCAATAGTACTAATAAAAATAGTGTTTAACAAATTCTGTGTAGCTTAAAAATACTTGCCTGTAGTTTAGCATTAAAGTGAGTCCCAGGGGCACACTGTCTTATGACTCTCTCGCCATTATCACACTCATAGAATCTAGCACAGTCAGATTCATGAGGTAAAAGCAACCGAATGCTATGGTCACAAGGACATCCATTTGGCAATATTGGTTGATTTTTGCAATCGCAACTTGGTGTCTCAGTAGTTGTTGTAGTAGTAGTAGTGGTAATACAAGAAGGGTCACAGCCAGCTTTAGAAGGATGATCGCATATCTGTTAAGTATATTTTAAATAATTATTTTGAAACCTTAATAAAGCCAATTATAAAAAGTCACATAAATATTTGAGAGTGAACGGGCGCCATGGTATCCATGGCTACTGACGGCAAAGCCGCAGGGACTCTTATGGTGAGTACATATGGCAGTCCTAAGCGAAGGCTGATGGCAATGCAAAGTGATTCAGGGTCCAAAAATGTGCCAGTGGCGAATCCAGTGGCGAATGATAGGCATTAAACCAATAATCGGCTTCTAAGACCCCACTGCCACCAACGTTGTGCGGTAATTGTGATATGTGTAAAGAGAATTTTTGGATATTCATAGCAGTGTAACTTTAATTGTGTCAAGTTATTGTTTTATCATTTGTTACCTGAATATAGTGAAACTTGCCTGCAATTTGGCATTAAAGTGAGTCCCAGGGGCACACTCTCTTAAGACTCTCTTGCCTTGGTCACATTGATAGTATTTCTCACAGTCAGATTCGTGACGCAATCGTAATTGAATGCTGTGGTCACAAGGACATCCATTGGGCAGTATTGGTTGCTTGGAGCAATCGCAAGGTGGTTCTTCAGTACATGGAGAAGTGGGACCAGTGTTGCATTTGACGTTATGCGCGTGATCGCAAACCTGTAAAAGCGGTACCACAAAACATCTGAGCTAAATAATAAAAGCGTGTTGGTTCGGAACTACATGTCGCCTATGGACACTCAATGTCAGATGGCTCGCGAGTGCGTTGCTGGCGTTTTAATAATTGGTACGCTTTTTGCTCCAAGGAACCCAAGGATAATTAACCAACCTGTCGCCTATGGACACTCAATGCCACAGGGCTCGCGAGTGTATTGCCAGCCTTATAAGAATTGGTACGCTCTTGAATGAACCTAAGTCGAATTGGTTCGGAAACACTTCTATGTGCTGGTTATAATAATAGTTTATTGCAAGAATATGGTACAAAATGCCTAAGGTGATACAATCGTAAATCGTTCGCATATTCTGCCACATACGATGGCGCGCTTTGGTTCCACAAAGTTGTGGTGCAAAACTGCCTCAAAAAATGCTCAGTTGTGACAGGTGATACGGGTTGAATTTCATATGTCTCAACATGATGAAACTCAGCTGCAGGTATTAAACAACTCCTCTGAACACTCACCTGTATTTCATAGGAGAACAGAGTTCCTGCCGGACACTGTCTCGCGTCATTACGCCTCACGCCATATTCGCAGTAATAGAACTTGGAGCAATCCGTTTCATGCGGTAATAGGTGGTGACCTATCGCCGGGCATTTGTAGCGATATTGACCGCTGACATACGCCAGTGAGAGCAGGAGCAATTTGACTGAAATCAGAATATTGAATGGAGCAGAGGAATCTTGGGCCGTGGAATTTAAGTGCACACAAAAGATTTAAGTTGGGCTGGTGGTGACTCTGGTGCTTTAACGAATAAGTAAAGGAAATTCCAGCATTTTTCTATTATTAATTTTTTTCCGCTTGCTCTGCGGCCGCGCCAACTTCAGTGCTTGTCTGAGGGCGTGATGTCCCATACCAAGACCCGTCCTATACATTTATCATAAACCAAAATCTGTGTTTATGGCTTTTTCTTCACACCTTAAACACTGCTTGTTAGACGAAGCATAGCCCAGTCTGATTTAGTTTAAATTAATATATTCGGAATATATTTTGCGGCTTATAATAATAGCCGTTTAATTCAGATACTTTTACAGTTGAACACGTTTCTATTTCAATCTTCTTTTAGGTATATCTGCACTGTGCCACTCTTTGCCATTAAAGAAACAGCAGGTGGTACATGGCAGAGAGTGGCACAGGGACTCACTTAATTGTATTTTTTTATTTACAACGTTACATTAAACATAAAAAATCAGTAAATTAGTTATGAGGTTTATCGCATACAAGTGATTTCTTACAGGTATGGAAAAAACAACAGCCACTGTAGGTAAAGTACAAATGCATAAATAAAAACATAAAATTATATGTAACAACGTTGTTCTAAAACAACGTGTATGCATGTGTATGCAACGTGCGTGCATGCAAAATAATACAAGAACTATACTAAATTATGTAAATAGGAAGATTGTTGTAAAATATATCAATATTTTAATCAATGTTAGTAATAATATTGTAAGAGCGACTTCACTTGTCCATTAAGAGTAGAAGGTACAGAGACTTGTAGGTCTAGTAACTCTAGGATTACATAGAAAGGAAAATGCAAGACGGTTAGTAAGTATTAAAGTTAAATATTTTATACAAATAAACCGGATCAATGAAGTCACGTCGGAGTTTTAGATTATCTAACTTGAAATATTCCAAACGAGCCTTGTACGTTTGCAATCAAGTGTAGACGATTGCAAAGCTTTCTAAGGAAATGTTTTTGAACGGTTTCAATAGTATTATTGTGCATTTTGTAATGTGGTGTCCAGATTACAGTAGCATACTCTAAAATACTACGGACAAGAGATTTGTTAAGAGTTTGAACTTTGAACTTTTGTAATGGAGAGGACCCGAATACAAAACCTAGCATTTAATAAGCTTTGTTGACAACTGTTTGCCTGTGCCAGCTATTTATAAGGAAGGAAGCAGTGTTTGCCTAGTGGCTTCAGCGTGCGACTCTCATGCCTGGAATCGTAGGTTCGAGCCACTGTGCACCAATAGATTGTCCTTCTATGTTCGCATTTGACAGTCGAATGGTGAAGGAAAACATAGTGAGCAAGGCTTTAGACCTAAAAAGTCGACGTATGTCAGGCACAGGAGGCCGGTCACATTAGATTGACAAATGATCATGTTCAGAAATATGCGCCACTGATTAATTGATTAATTTAATTACGAGGCAGAAGATAAAAGTTCAAAAAGAAGATTCTTAAATAAATTTAGAATGGGCTCGTCTGATATCAAGAGGTAAGTTCGAAAGCAGAATACTTTGCACAATAAAGCAATTATAGGATCCAGTTTTATGGATTTTTAATGGAAAATAAGGAAATAAATGACCAAAGTCGCCATTACAAAACTATAACCAACGGTTAAACCAAAAAGAATATTGGTCGAGACTCTAGAGTTCCCCATTTTCCTTCTCTAGACTATGCGAGCATCCGAAAGCAGGATAGCTTTTGAAATCTGGTGTTGGAAGCTGACGCTCAGGAATCTCTGTATAGTGAAAGGGTGAACTTGCCAATTCTAGGACAAGTGACAACCCGTCTTTCTTTAGTGCGTTAGTAAAGGATCCTGAACTTTTTTGGACATTTAGGACGAAGATATAAGTCGCTTTGTGACCATCGGATACTGCCTCTTTAGTAATGAATAACGCAGTAAAGAAGACGTACCATTGGCACTACAATCTTTTAGGTCTGGGCCTTGGAGTTCTGTGTCAGTTCCGTGATGATTCCCATCCTCAAGATGTTCACTTACCTATCACAATGTCCATGGTCGTGGATATCCTTCAGAAAGTCTTTTGCAGACTTCTTAAATAGGCTTATAATATCAATGACAGCGACAATCAAACTGTTTTGTTATAGAACAGGGGGAAAACGAAGGCTCACCTGGTGTTAATTTATACCAATGGACACTCTATCAAATTTTTACTTTATTACTCTATTATATTTTTACTCTATCAATCACTTATAGATATATGTTATAGAAAGGATATATATTATGTGATAACAATCAAACTTAGGAATCCCTGCAAGTAGCCCGCGATATCGCAGCACATTACCGAGGGGACTCTGTCGAAGTAGCGTGGGTCCGGCAATCTATATACTGTAAAATAATTATGTAGGAATAAAGAGATATATAAATACCAAATAAATATATAATACACAATAATTTTGAGAACCTATTATGTTAACAGTTTTAAGAATCCTTTATCATGTTAACACTGATAATACATTACTAAAACAAGACTTATAAATTGTATTACTAATGCACGGAGATTTTAATTCAAAATGGCGGCCACTTCGAACATAGTACCATTTTTATATACATTATCGGATTCTAAGATAGTGCAGTGGTCTCAGCGACTAAGGTCTTGAGTTCGATCCCCACCGTACCAATGGACTTTCTGTGAATACTTGGAATGAAGGAAATCCTCAGGAAGGCGTTAAACTCGGTCTACCGCTTTTAAACAAGCATCTCGAAGCACGCTGGAGGTTCCTCTTCGTTGTTGACAGCCCCAGATGCCACTCTACACCAATTGGTTCGTAAAGATGGTATTCTGAAGAGTTGGGGTGATCCCTATTCCCTCCTGCCTAGTTTCATCACCGTACGAGCTGTATTAACTCCAGAATTCATCCTCATCACCTTTATTGCTGGATTTCTTCTGGTAGACTATGGAGATCTATCCTGGGGGATACTATTCAAAATTAAATAACTAAAGATTAAATAATAACAATAAGAAAAAAATATGGTGGCGCGTGGCATATTCCGTTCAACCAATCAGCGCACGAGGTGCGATCCGTTTCACAATTTGACGGTTTCACTTCGATAGATTACAATCTACCGAATAACAACAGGTACGTTAAATTGTAAGCAGTGCGTTGAGGTTCACAATCTCGCGAGACAGATTACAATATAACGGTGTTTACAATTTTACGGTGACACATATATATCTCTCTCTCTTACATTTTTAATATTTTATAATAAAATCTGAGTTCTTTAAGTCAAAATTGTATAAGCTATGCTAATATATGGCCCAGTTTAGTCGTTTTGTTTTTAAAATCAAGGTTAGATTCTGTGCTGTTTTTCGCAAAGATATATTTTGATACAACAATAGCGGACTGAATTTCGTCGATACTTTGCATTACATTTTGCTAAATATTGTCTCACCAGATTGTGGAAGTAACTACTACGCCTGGGACTTTCACATTTTTGTGTCCTGCTTTCCCTAATATAAAAGAATTTAACTTGAAGTCATAAGTATCGTATTTTAGGCTTACTTTAAAATGTCCCGGCTAGATTGACTCTGTCCGGTATTCGAACCGTACTCCTTTATTTATTATTAAATCTTTAAAAATTATAATGCGTGGATTAACTGCTGACGCCAACGAATTACTTACTCAAAGACGATTTTTTACATGTTGTAAAGATATGGTTTTACAGAAAATAATATTCTTTCCAAGGTTCCCTTTTTAAACTTTAAATCTGAAATAAACTACAACAATTTCCAAGAAACTGCGGGACATTTTAAGTTAGAAGAAATAATCCTCTTTTAATTTTGTCGGAATCCTCTAAATGCATTTCCTTTTCAAGCACTGACAATGTGCTCCCCTAATCTGCACCTGGTTTCGTTCGCCAGAGATCCGCTGAACTCCAACATCAACGATACTCGCGAAGCGCGGTTATCCAGCTAATGACAAAGCGACTTCTGATCCGCAACCGAACTGATCTCATAACAACAATAGGGACAATTACGGGCTGGTTCCACATGGTGGTGCGCGGCAAAAACTGCCTTAAACATCACTCAGTTGTGGAACGAACCAACTTATTCTTGGGACACGTAGCTCGGCGTGGTGATAAGTCCATTGAAAGCCTTATCATCCAAGGAATGGTGGAAGGCACCGTGCGGAAGGTCACCTACGCGTTGGACTGACGAGATCAAGTCTGCCGTAGGAGGTTCGCTTACCTAATGAGTGCAGCAGGATGACCTCTAATAGGCAACGATGGCTAAACGTCGTGAAGCGCATCACATCTGCCCCTTCTAATACTTAGAAGACCCGAACATAACTCTTGCCACTGGTTTCTTTTGAAGTGAAACTTCTTTAGGCGCATTCGAAGAAAACGGAGAGAGCGATTGAGACCGATTGAGAGAGAGTGAGAAGGGCGAATACCTTAGAGAAATTATTTTTTTAAATTAAAATTTCGTAAAGTGAATTTATGTGTATTAGTATTTTATATTTTATGCAAAATAATTTATTGAAATATTAAATGACGAATTGTAAATTATAATGCCACGTGTTTTTATAATCGAAGATATAAATTTAATAAAAAAATATTATTTGTATTAATTTTCGACACTTACTCAAACTGAGACTCAAAACATGTTTATTCATATAGGTAAACAAGTAAGTACACTTATGAACGTCAAAAAGAAGTTAAATTGAATGTAAATTTACATTTACTACAAGTTCGCAAGTCAAGGGCGTAGAGCGGGTAAAAAGAACTGGCAAGAAACTTTCCGCCACTCTTTTTAATCGCCAAGTAATTTATAAAATAAATTGTTTGAACTGGAGCAAATCAATCCCAAGGATTAGGATCATTTAAGTATTCGTCAAATTTATAAAAAGCTTTATTGATTAATTAACGTTCAACGAGGGCTTTGAATTTATTTAGTGGTAATTCTCTAATTTCCCTTGGGAAAGTTGTAAAAACGAATACAATTTCCATATAAGGACTGGAAGTGGAAAGAAGTTAATATTTTAATGACAGTTAAATTCCTAACATATCTTCTATTTTCCCTCCCTCCAAGTCTCGGAAATCTAAACTTTTAGATTAGTATAAATATGAACAAGACTTAAAAATTAGCCAAAGAAGTTTCACTTCTGCCATGTGTACTAAGTGCGTGCGTACACTTTTTTTATGAATAAAGACAGTTGACACCTTGGCCTAGCGGCTAGCTTCAAATAAACTGTTTCATTTAGACATTTATTTATTTGAACATCCCTTCAGGCTTCAACAATCGCCAGTCGCCACCAAACTTCACTCGGTTTTATAAAGTGATAGTAATCACTAATCATTATAACTGATTAAATCGCATTGCGAATAGATCAGGCCAAAAATTATCGTAAAGAGTGTATATTATCGTATAATCCTTATTTGATAATAGTTTTGTTATATCTTTAAGCGACGATATTTTGTAAGCGCGTTTCACATTACATGTGGCGACATCTCTGGTCAGAGGTGGATATTGTTATGAACAGCGGTGCCACGATTATTGTTATTATTATTATAGCCTCTTTATTTCCATAGTGAATAATATATTAAACAAGTTTATGTAATCTCATTCGGTAATATTCTACTTATGAAATGAAATACAGACTTTTATTGGCATATTATATTTACATACTTCTTTAAGAAAATTAAAAAATTAAAATAAAGCATTATTCTCCTAACAAGACAAAGCTTTAAAACAACTTTTTTATCATTAAAGTGAAATGTTTCCCAACCAAGGAGGTTTCAATTCAATTTAAGTACACATTATCTGTGGTGAGAGCGCAACGCGCTGGTCCGAGCTAATAGATCAATAACAGCCTTTTTCCATTTTGGTGCTATTTCGTACATACGAATTTACATACGTACATGCGAACGCTGTTCTTATTTATTTTTAAGGCCTATTTCAAATTGTATAGAATCTATAAGCGTTAATATAGCGTCCTTTTAAAAATCTTGTATAACGTACTCGCTAAAACACAAGCAGGTCATCTTGATTCGCGCTAAGACTAGCTGCTGGCTCCGCCCACCGCGTCTGTGTCGAACCAAAAACAAAAGAAAAGGTATAATCTCCGAAAAAGAGGAGTGATATTCTTGTTAAGGTTGGAAATAGAAGAAAGGCTTAATAATAGGCAAGTAGGTGATCAGTCCTTTGTACCTGACTGCTTACTTATTCTCCAGAGAGTCACGTGACACGTCATATCAGATTCACAACATGATATTAAAAAACTTGAGTAAAAAAAACTGCGTACCTAGACACCCACCAATAAAACCTGGAACGCCTATTCGCTCCACTCTCTTCGCCCACCCGACAAAGCCCGTAGCAGGAGTGGGCCCGTAGCACGATTAGCCTCGTAGCAGGCGCTGACACGTCATTTTAACAGATCCGGATGTTCCAATCACCCTTAAAAACCAGATTAGCGAAAAAGCCGTCTTCACCGGGGAAGGCGTGTTCTTTTACGTCCAGCCTTTAGGCGATTGACCACCGCACGACGGCCTAAGCTCGCAGAATATGAAGACTTTGGCTAGTCGCGGGAAAGTGCCTTTCTAGTCTAGCATCGCTCGCCAAAACGGGCCGAACTTTGCTGTCCTATATATTGTAAGCCCTTCAGGTTAGTAGCGAGATACTTTCACAAAAGATCTTAACTATTATTTTAAGAAGACTTCCCAGCTTTCACTTCTCTCTGATCGAGCGCTCTCTACAACCTATATCGAAAAATGAAACGGTTAATGATTCCAAATTAACTGTACAACACAGCATAGCGCCAAAGAAAAGACAACAATAACAATTGCCACGCTAACAAAATACTCCCCAATCCGGCTTGTCATGTTCTTCGGGGACATACGGGTGTATGTCCACGAAGAACATGACAATCATAAAAAAAGGTGCGTGTACTTATGTACGCGCGTATTAAGTTATACTTCTTTGGCATTATTAAAAATAGTTTTTGATTGCATGCAAATAATTAATTACAAATAAATAACCAAAGACTGGAAAAGGAG